TTTTTTTTTTTTGTTTTTTTTTTTTTTTTTTTTTTTTTTTTTTTTTTTGAGTCTCCCTGTAGCACAGCTGGCCTGGAACTCACTATGTTGACCAGGCTGGCCTCGATTTCATAGAGATCCCCCTTCCCCCTGCCTCTCCCTCCTGAGTGTTGGGATCAAAGGTATACATTATCATGCCTGGTTTCCCCAGAGTCTTTGAGGTATAGTATCTATCCATCAAATCATACATAACAACTTGGCCATGACACCTCTTGTATTAGACCATTTTATTGCTATGATAAATACCTGAGAGAAACAGGTTTCTGAGCCCATGGTAAGGCAGAATATCATGGCAGGAAGGTGTGGTGGAGCAGAGCTGACCTCATGGTGGCCAGAAGGCAGAAAGAGCAGGAAGGGGTCAGGGCCAAGATCTAGCCATCAGAAACATCTGCCCAGCAGCTGGCCCACTTTCCTTAACCAGTCCCTCCCTCCCCAGACCCAATTCTGCTACCTGCCTGCCTTATGTGGTGGCACATACCTGTAATCCCAGCACTCAGGAGGTTGAGGCAAGAATTCAAGACCAGCCTGAGCTACATAGGAAGACCCTTTGATCCTGACTCAAAAAAAAAAAAAATCTATCAATGAATTAAACCACTGATAAAATCTGAACCATCAGATCCAATCATCCCTAGAAACACAGACTCACACGGGTGTGCTTTACTCATCTCCCAGGTGCCTCTCAATCCATTCAAGTCAAGTAGACAGTCAAAATTAACCAGCACACCTTTCTGACAATTTACAAAAGACCCTCTGCTGTTTCATCAGCTTCTAAAGCCCAATTTTCTTGTCAGGGCCTGGTTCTGCTTCTGTTTAAGGCTGCACACCTTCCCTTGGATGGCATAGTTCATGTTCAGGCTGTTGTGGACATGACGCATTTTCTTTGCTAGGCTCTATAAAGTCTCCATTTTGATAGAGGACACTGAGGCAGATGTTATTCAACACCAGAGAAAGAAAGAAGAGAAAGAAAAAAAAATTTGGGACTATTCAGAAAGAGCGAAGACTATTTCAAGGCTTTGGGGGAAGGGGGTAGAGACCTTGTTAATGTATGACTTAGAGGATGTGGGGGAAGTGTGGAGTGAGGGGCACATTGAGTTAAGGTATACCCATTATATCAGTAGTCTCTGATGTGCCAGAGCTTAATCTGAGATCTATAATCATCCTTTAGGGAAGGGAGAATGACCCACCATTGGAATCTGTGAACCTGAGGGGTCTGTGAACCTGAGTTGCAAGACAGGCAGATGGGGAATCTGTCTCTCTGTAGCAGCAGGGGTCCCAGAATCAACTGCAAGGATGGAGATAGAGATGCCTAGAGGCTTAACTGAATAGAATATGGTCTGGGATTAAGCATTTCCTTCCTGGAGTTTGCTGACACACAGGCTGGTGAGACCTGATTGACCTCTGTCCTAAACTTAACAGGCTCCACAATCCCTTCTTTCCTGGCTGCCCCTTCATCTCCTCTTTCTCTTCCTGCCTTTCCTTGCCACCACTCAGGGATCTCAGCCAGCCTCGTAGATTTGAGCTGCCACTGGGTGTACATGTTGGTTTCTCAGTCCAACTTGCCTGTAATTCCACATGTGTACCTGTGCTCATGGGCCTGTCCACCCAAGTCATACTCTTCAGTGTCTAGTGGGCACATGACCTAAATCAAGCCCCTGACTGCCCCTACGTCTGCCTCTACATCTGTAGCATTTTTACCTTCTCAGTTAATGACCATTTGGGACCAAAGACCTCAAGGTCATGCTCTATTCTTTTTCTCTTCATCTTCATCTGCAATCTGGTTGTTCACAGCCTGCTCCGTGGCCCCCAAAGGGACCCTGTAAAAATGTTTCCCACTCTGCTTACTCCTCTATCTCAAGTCTGTGTGTAGCTTATAGCAAAAGCCAAAGCCCCTTTTTATAGACCAGGGAGGCCTGACAGAACGAATGGGCCTAACCAGCTGTTCAGCCTTCAGCCCATTTATTGTTACCCACAGCCCTGCACCACCTGCCCCAGAGCCCTTGCACTTACCTTAGGCTTCTTTCTTGGCTCTGCATAGATATCACCTCCTCTAGAATGCCTTCTCTGAGCACTCTGCTCACAGCTCAACCCTTTCCCTTTCCCTTATCTGGCCTCTTATTTCCAGTACTTTCTCTACTGGCTATTGTTTTTCTCTGATATGCAGGTAGAGACCTATGTGTCTGTTCCTTGCTGATTCTTCAGCTCTGAATGTGTGGCATACGTTCCATAAATAATTGCACAAATGATCATGGCAAGAGTCTGGAGGCTTGAGGGATGGACAGACAGACACTCAGAGTGGCTGGAATGCAACTAAGATGGAGATTAGAGACTGCCAGACGGCACAGGAGATGCTGGTGTCTGTCCCCTGGTGTTGGGGAGGCTCAGGTTTAGCTTAGGGCTAGAATGTGGTCAGACCCACAGTTGGAGCTTCTTGAGACCTGCTGGGACAACCCTGTGCCCCTTTCCCCACCCTCCCTCCTCACCTCCTCAGGCCAGCTCTGGGGTCTTGGCAGGTGATCCACAATATGAGTTCTGAGTTCTACGCTGCCCAACTTCAAGCCCGTATCTCTGATGACACCACTCACCCAACCTCCTACTACGAGCCTGAATTCTACACTCCTGATGATGGGGGCACTGCTCACTTATCTGTGGTTTCCGAGGACGGCAGCGCTGTGTCTGCAACCAGCACCATCAACCTCTAGTAGGGGCTTTGGGACTGCTAGACAGTGCAGGGCTGGAGGCAGTATGTTGGGGGCTACCTTCATTTCCTATAGGAGGGCTCTCACCTTCATGGCTCTTGCTTTCAGGCTCCCCCTTGGTAGCTTGTCCTGGGTGGGCCTCCTAAGAAGTGCTCTTGGCCTGGGATCAGTGGGTACCAAGTGGGGAATAGCTGTGTTAGACTCTGCTTTCTGATCTGGCCTATCTTCAGCTTTGGCTCCAAGATCCTCTCTCGGGTCAGTGGCATCCTGTTTAATGATGAGATGGATGACTTCAGCTCACCCAACTTCATCAACCAGTTTGGGGTGTCCCCTTCACCAGCCAACTTCATCAAGCCAGGTGCACAGTGGGAATTCTGGGTATTAGACTTTAGTTGGGAGGGGGCTGGTGTCCTGGACAGGCAGCTGACTGGTATGTATCTATTTCTCCTGTTGGCCACAGGGAAGCAACCACTGTCATCCATGTGTCCCTCAATCATTGTGGATAAGGATGGTCATGTGCAGATGGTAGTGGGAGCCTCCGGGGGCACGCATATCACCACATCCACTGCACTGGTATGTGCTGTCTACCTGCCCTCCCTTCCTCTGTCCTTCTCTGCCCTCACCACGAGCTGTACTTACACCCTGCTATCCTGTCCCCCAGGCCATCATCCACAACCTGTGGTTTGGCTATGATGTCAAGAGAGCAGTGGAGGAGCCACGGCTGCACAACCAGCTTCTGCCCAACACCACAACAGTGGAGAAAGACATTGATCAGGTACACTGGGGATTGGAAAACAGCCATGGTATGGGATTAGAGGGCATCCTGAGACAGAGGTCAGCATCTTCTGAGTCACTATAGAGCAAAGAATGGCTAATGTCCTCTGCCAAGGGATGATGTCCCCAGGCCCTCAGGTCATCCTGAGCTCTTATATACTGAGTGCCAAGCAGTCTGCTCCTAGGAAACCTCAGGGGCCCAGGGGCCCCTAACTTGCTCTTTCCTGGCTACTCAGTGAGAGATGGTACCATCTGGCTTTGTGAGGCCCATGACCCCATAGGGGCGGTTCTGTCCACATCCATGGCCTTACTGAGCCTCTCTCTGCCCTCTTACCCCAAGGCGGTGACTGCAGGCTTGAAGACGCGGCATCACTACACAGAAGTCACATCTACCTTCATTGCTGTGGTTCAGGCAGTTGTCAGAACAACCAACGGTTGGGCAGCTGCCTCAGACTCTAGGAAAGGCGGGGAGCCAGCTGGCTACTGAGTACTCAAGATGGACAAGACTTCAATTCAGGCACAAGATACTCACAAGGGCCAAGAGTGGGACTTTGGAGAATATGCTGTCCCTGAGTGGGACAGAGAAGAATAATAAATGGGGGGCTCTGCCAGGCTCTGGGAAGCTGGCTGGTCTCCCCATTTCCTGGGCCTCAGTGTCTTTTGTATCAAGCGGAGTCATTTGGCAGGGAAGAGAATGGCAAGATCCTGCATCTTTCCGCTGTCAGTGCTGATACTACCCTTAGCTCATAAGTTGGGAGAGCCAATCCGTCAAGATTGTTGGGGGTAAGGGGTAAGGTCAAACAACACTGCAGTTCTTCAACCTAAGCTGCTAGGACCAAGGGCCCTGCAGTCCCTCCTCTGGGCTAGGCAGCAACACTTCCTAGAATCAGCCGCTAGGGGGTGCTCTGACCCTGGCATTGACTGGGCCAGAGTACACCCCCCCCGCCCCCCCCAGCTTCTGGGAACCTTGGTTTCCCCGATTCCCAGAGCTCCCAAGGCAACTTGGCCAAGGTGACACCTGAGGTCACTTTCCACGCATAGACCCAGAAAGAAATCCAAGCTTGCCATCAGCTCTAGCAAGAGACTTAGTTCTCAGAGAACAGCAGGTCAGCAAGCTAAGGAAGATTCATAGATCCCTGAGGGGAATGCAGCTCAAGGGGGTAAGCCTGGAAGGACACTGTTAGGCACAAGGTCCCTCACAAAGGGCAGCCCCTCTGTACTCTCTTGGGGTCTGTTAATTTAGCATTCACACACAGCTGTAACCCTGAGTAAGGAGCTGCTGGAGGCTTGTGGAAGCTGGTCCTTACAGGAGTCACAACCTAGCAGCTAAATATTGCCCCCCGACAAGTGGATAAGTGGGGGTCCCTAAGGGAAGGAGTTCAGGGGCTAGAGGAGTGGCCCAGGAGGCTGAAAATTCTGGTGCTTCCAGGGTGCCCACAGGGATGTAGGGTTTTGTACCTGTAGATAGACCCCAGGTCTGAGGTCTACAGTCTCTCTGATTTGGGTCCTCTGGGAAAGACAGAGGCTGGGCAGTGGGGAGTGGCAGTCACCTCTCAATCCTTATTTATAGGATAAGGTAGGCCTCTCTAGGTTCATGTGCTGGGGTGTGCTGTACCCCAGTGCTCCAGGCCCCATATGGCTGGCCATAAGTTTCCCTGGGCCCAATATGTAGAGGGTGTACCCCACTCCCCCAGGCCTAGGGGAGTTAAGTCCCCTTCTTTCCTTTACATCATTACCTCCTGGGTAAAGACCTTCAGGGCCACTGGAGCTGGACCTCCCCAGCCATCCCAGCATGACACCAGTTCCTTCTGTGAGTCTTCGCTGAGCTGCCTCTGCACTCTGGCCTCTGCATGACTAGGATGGCCTGGCTAGGGAGAGGAGGGAGGATGTCCCATCCTTGACTCTGCTGTCCCCTACTGCTTTGGCCTCAGAGCTCTGAGGACTGTGGCGGGTGGGTGGGCTGGCCTGCACTCAGGAATGTGCTTTGGTTCCTGGTTGAGCAATGACATAGAAGTGTGGGGGACAGTTGGGAACGTGGGGAGATACCCTCAGTCACCACCCTCCCTTTCTTGAGGCCCTCGTGGGAACAGGACTACAGGAAACAGCCTCTCTGACCCAGGCTGAGCAAGAACTCTGGACATGGGGCTTGCAGACTGGGTCTGGCCTGCACTCAGGAATGTGCTTTGGTTCCTGGTTGAGCAATGACATAGAAGTGTGGGGGACAGTTGGGAACGTGGGGAGATACCCTCAGTCACCACCCTCCCTTTCTTGAGGCCCTCGTGGGAACAGGACTACAGGAAACAGCCTCTCTGACCCACTGTGCGCAAGAACTGTGGACATGGGGCTTGCAGACTGGGTGGCCAATGTACGCTCTCTCTCTCTCTCTCTCTCTCTCTCTCTCTCTCTCAGCCTTATTTATACTAAACAGTGTATGAAGATTGGAGAGGGTCATGATCAGTGGAAAGAGAGTGGGGGATGCTGGGAGGGTGCTGAGATTCTGTGCAAAGGAGTCCATCCCAGGGACCTTCTGCCCTGTACCCCTACTAAGTCTGGTCAAGGGAATATTTCAGTGAGTCCTCACTTCCCCAGATACCTCCCAATTGAACACCCTGAGGCCAGGGGGTGGCAGAACTAAGACAGTGCTCCCAGGGAAGGATAGCCACCAGCACAGGAATAACCTTGAGTACCAAATGGACGCTGGGAGTCAGACAAGCATCCACTGGAGCTCTGAGCTGCACAAGAAGTGAGCAGCCTCACTCCCCAGAGACCCATAGTTGTGTTTCTAGGTCATCATGTCCCATGGTGGATGGTCCAGTGGCACTGGGTGCCAAGGATTGGACACATGGCCTGCCTGCATGCCCTCTCACTCACATATGTATTGGTTAGGCTGGGCCAGGTAAACAGTCCTAAGTGACTGCTTTGGTCGACTTTCAGCCCCAGCCCTATGTTGTGTGAGTGTCTAGGTTGAGCTTCTGCCTAGGCAGGACCAGCTGGGAGTGCCGGGTCGGGGAGTGGACTTCCACCCTGCAGAGGACACTCTGACCCTGCCTGCGCTGTTGGGAACCAGGGGAATGGCGAAAGAGTTCCTGGGAGCCCTGTGACCTGGTTCCCCAGGGTGCAGCAAGCATCATGTTCCCAAGTACATTGGGATGAGGAGACCCTGGATACTGCTGGGTCAGCAGGAAGGCTCATGGGATCAACAGGCAATCAGAGAGTTAAAAGCAGCTGGCTCTTCTCTGCAAGGAAAAACTCCCTGTAGATGCCTGGCCTGCTGCCAGGGCCAAGAGCTAAAAACTGGAAGTTCAGGCGTGTGGCCAGATCTGCCTCTGTAGCAAGCTCTTGAGGAGGGCAGCAGCTCTGTCGCTGTGTCTGTCTGTCTGTCTGTCTGTCTGTCTATCCCTAAACCCATCTGGCTGACTGGCTGTCTATTGTTCCTCTGTAAAACTGTCTGTCCACCTCTCTGTAAGCCTATCTACAATCCTCTCTGTCCAGTTGTCCAATTTATCTGTTTCTGGTCCCATTGATTTTTCCATCTGTCCAATCACTTGAGTCTACTTGTGTATCTTCTGTTCATTCATCTGCCTGTCAGTTTGTCACTCTGTCTATTCAGTGGTCTATCTGCTCACCTGCCTCAGCTCTTTCCCTGGGCCACTGAGCCATGGCCTGGGGCCAAAGGGCCACAGTCAGCCTGGTCCTTCTGGGTCTGGGTTTAGGTCTGGTCATCATTGTGTTGGCTGTGGTCCTCTCTCGCCGCCCTGCCTCTTGTGGCTCTGAGGCCTTTGCACATGCTGCCGTAGCTGCTGACTCCAAGATCTGCTCAGATATTGGACGGTGAGTAAGAGGTGGGTGGGAGCCAGGTGGCCCTTGACAGCTGACTCCTCCTGGAGACTGTGTGACTGTAGTGAGGATGTGGAGAAGGCACGTGTATTTGCATGCTGGCTTATGAAGTAAGGGCCATGTGGGTTTGGGTTCCAACACTAGCCCTTGCATAATAGATGTACCTACGGGGCAGATAGGGACCCATAGGCAGAGTTTCAAAGATAGTGTGACTTGAGGGCTCAAGAAGGCCATCTGCATAACAGTGGTTGGAAATGGAGACTAAACGGGTTGTCTCTGCCTTGGCCTGTCCAAGGCTAACACTTTTTCTGGGGCCTGGGCAAGAGCCTTCAGGCTTTCAAATGTAGGTCCTGTCTGTCAGTCACACATGCCTCCCAGGGCCAATCCATACTGGATCATTCACACACACACCAGTGCCACATCTATGAGGTCTGCCTTCCCTATGTCAGAGCCTGAGCCTGGTGGGTGGAGTGACTGATGTTTGGTAGGCCTGGAGGAGGAGAGAGTGGAGAGGGGCCACAGCTGGTGTTTCCTGACCTTCTTCCAGGAAACCCAGCCCATGGGAAGCCTCTATACCCATTACGCAGCCATAGGGACAGGACATGGCAGGAAGCCCCTCCTGGCCCTGCATCCATCTGGGCCTCCAGAAACCTGGGCAAGCGTCTCCTTTCTAGCCAGCTGGGTCTGTTTCCCAAAATATCAGCCTGGCAGGCCACTGTGAGGGTTTAAATGCTTTGCAAACCCAGACAGGGTCCTGCAGCAGGGAAAGTGGTCCTGGCCCAAGGTACCAAGCCAACATGCTTTCTTTTCTGTTCTTTAATTCATCCGCCTTTTCATTCATTCCTTCCTCCCTTAATCCATCTGCCTATTCATCCTTCCCTGCCTCCCTTGCTCATAGCAGCCCCCACCCCTGCTGACCTGGTCCTCTGTGCTCTCAGACTTTCTGTCTTCTCCTTCATCTCTACATTTAGCATGGCAGGGGTTAGCACAGACAAGCACGGGTAGTTGCTTTTACTCCATAGGGTGTTCCCAAGGGATAAAAACAAGTAAGGTCAACTACTACCCTGTCTCATGGATGTGGTGCCCATTTGTTCCCCCTGAGATTGCAAAGATGTCAGTGAGGCAAGGAGGGGAGGGCTCAGGCCCCACAGATGAAGAGAGGGCAAGCAGCCCCCAGGAATGAGGGTCTGTTTCTGCATGTTCTGAGGAGAGTCTGGGCCCACAGTCTTCCTGAACCTCTGTCCAGGTCTCTGAGCAATGCTTTGTACATGATGGTCTGGTTGGGGTCTCTACTTGAAGCTCACTTTCTTGCCATTCAAATTCTCTGAAGCTTTCCCCTGTTACGAGCGGATGTGGTTTTTCCCCAGTGTTTTGTCAAATAACTCTGCTTCCTGTTCTTGTTTTAAGAAACCAGGAGTGGGAGGGACCGTGGGGCCCCTGCTGCTTACTGTGAAAGAGGAATCAGTGACCATGGCCAGGGTGAGCCTCAGAAAGGTGCCTGCTGCTGTGTCCTCCTAGCCAAGAGCTTTCCATTTGACTTAGGAGGAAATTCAGCCTGTTCAGGGGATGAACCTGGCTGCTGACACAGTGGCAGGCTCAGCAGGACTGGCATTCCCCCTACTGTTGCTGTTGCTGGGAGAGCTGTGGGAGGGTCGGTCTTCCTAGAGTCTTCTAGCCCTACCCTTGTACCTCAATCCCTGCCCAGCTCTGGGCATGGTCTATAATGGCTACAGCTTTATTTGCCACAATCGCAGAAGACAGGGCTTGCTGCCCTGTGATCTCAGGTCCTGAGGGAAGATTAGGGTGGGGCCCTAGTCCCTGTCTCCTAGGGTTTTCCTCCTACTTCTTCCTTCCAGCCCCAACCTTGTTCAATGACCTTCACCTCCTCTGTATTCCTGGCCAGCTCACTGGGACATGACTATATTTCCTGACCCCTGGAGCTGGTGATGAAAGCCCTTTGCACATGTGTGCAAATATGTGTGTGTGTACATACGTCTGAGCAGGTGTGTCACTACAGTGATGCTGACAACAGCCTCCTGGCTCCTTAGGGACAAGTACATGACTGACCACATTTCATAGCTGAGGAAAACCAGGTTCAGGAAGCTGAGTTACCTGCCTAGCATCACGCAGCTGGCCAATAGAAACATAGCCCCCCGCCCCCAGTTGACTCCTACAGTTGTGGGGTTGGGGATACAGGTGGATAATGCATCCTTGTCTACCTAACATGTAATACTTTTGTTTGTCATATACGAAATATGTGAGGACTGAGTGCATGGCTCAGTGGTACAGCACTTGCCCAGTATGTGCATGGTCCTGGGTTCCATTCCCAGCACAACAAAATAATGTGAAGAATATAATGTCATGACCTAGGGACACAGTAGCAACCAAGACGGACAAAGTCCTTGCCTATGTGTCTGTGGTAGGAGACACAGCACAGACAAACATATCCATAAATAATGTTGGAGGGCTGGATGTGATCTTTGATTATCTGAACAGTCCCTTCTGTGAAATATCTGTCTCTGTCTCTGTGTCTCTCTTGTACACACACAGATCTCTCCATGTTGACCAGACTGGTTTAGTCTCCTCTGGGACTACAGTTATGAGCTACCATGCCTGAGGCCTTCTGTTGTCATCTTTCTGCCATTTTTCTATCAGGCTGTACATAAAATGTATTTACTGTCTTAATTTCTCTCCCTCTAAATACGCAGTGAGCCGGGCGTGGTGGCACACGCCTTTAGACCCAGCACTCAGGAGGCAGAGGCAGGCGGATCTCTGTGAGTTCGAGGCCAGCCTGGTCTACAAAGTGAGTTCCAGGCCAGCTGGGGCTACAAGGAGACCCTGTCTCAAAAAGACCCAAAAAATTAAAAATAAATAAATATGCAGTGAGCGTTAAGTCACCCTTGTATTCCTAGGACAAACTCTACTTGTTTGTGATTCAACATCATTTTTTGTGCTGTACCACTGAATCACATCCCAGTTCCTTACTGCATTTTGGTATCAGGGTCATGCTGATCTAATAAAGAATTGGGAAGCTGTCTTTTCCTTTCCTGTTGCTGTAATAAAATACCCTTAAAGGAAAAAAAAATAATTTATTTTGGCCCATAGTTCAAGGTAAAGTCCATCATGGTAGAGAAGTTAAGGCATCAGGAGCTTGAAGCAGCTGGTCACATGACATCCACAGTCAAGAAACAGACAGTGATGAGTGTGTGGGCTCAGCTTTCTTTTCCTTTCCATGCAGTCCAAGATCCCATCCTAGGGAATGGTGACACCCACCATGGTGGGTCAATGCACCTCAGTTCACTTAATCAAGATAATCCCCCTAGGCATACCAGATGCTGGTATCCCAGGTGATTCTAGATCTCATCAACTAGACAATTGAGATGACCCATCACATAAGCATTCTCTCTTTTTCTATTTTTTGGGAGAATAAGGTTTGTTTTGTTTTTAAATTGTTATTTCATCCTTACATGTTTGGAAGAACTTACTGGCTAAGCTTTCTGCTAGAGTTTGGCTCTTAACCAGATATGTCCCAGGCACATGTGTTGAGGTTAGTCCTATACTTGGGCTACTTGGAGATGGTATAGCCTTTAAGAAGGTAGGGAAGCCTGGTGTGGTGGTGCACACCTTTAATCCCAGCATGTAGGAGGCAGAGGCAGGTGGATCTCTGGGAGTTCTAGGCCAGCCTGGTCTACATAGTGAGTTCCAGGCCAGCTGGGGCTACAGGGAGAACCTTTCTCTAAAAGACCAAAAAAAAAAAAAATAGCTGGGCATGGTGGCACACACCTTTAATCCCAGCACTCGGGAGGCAGAGGCAGGCGGATCTCTGTGAGTTTGAGGCCAGCCTGGTCTCCATAGTGAATCCAGGCCAGCTGGGGCTACAGGGAGACCCTGTCTCAAAAAAAAAGTAGGTAGGGAATAGTTGGAGGTCTCATGGCCCTGGGGCATGTCCTGGAAGAGGACTGCAGGACCCCTGTCTCTTCCATTTTCTCTTTTTCACTTTCTGGAAGGTTTTGTACTTCCAAACACTCCGACTGAATGTCATCATAGGCCCAAAGCCACAGCTGCAACTGATTATGAGCTAAAACTCCAAACTGAATCAAAAGAAACCTTTCTCTTTATAAGTTGATCATTTCCAGCTCTTGTTACAATAACAGAAAGGTAATATACCCTCTAATTTTGAGTTATTCATGTTAATGTAAAGCTTTGACATCATAGTTTCTATTTCTTTAATAGATGTAAGATTATCATGTTTCAATTTTTTTAATCTTACATTTATTTGTTTAGTGTATGTATGTATGTATGTATGTATGTATGTATGTATGTACATCAGGCTTGGAGGTAGCCATCTTCACCCACTGAGCCATCTCACTGAGCCATCTCGCTGGCCCTAGTGGTTTCTTCATGAATATAAGACAGATGGTATTTTGTTTTTCTTGTATCACAAGAAGAAAGATTCTCTGGTGTCTCCCTCCTTGTGGATGCTAAATTGACATCTTCTGAAAGATGGTGACTTTTCGTTCTATCATTCTTTTAATTTTAATAAAAAACAACAAAAAAGGGCAATTGATAAAGTACCAGGAATTATTAAGTTAGTACTATATGGTTTGAGATTTTTGAGATCATGCAACTATCCTTTTCTCATAATACATTTTTATATTTATTTTGATTCTTGCTGAATAAATTTGTGTTTGCATAGAAAGATGATTTTCCTTTTTTTTTAATAAGTTATAAAGAAAACAGGCTTGTCTTGATCCAAGGTTGAATAATGGCATTTGGTGATAGCCTTCTTGTTGGCAGATTCCTGAAGTGATGCAAAGTATCCCAAAGAAAGGGGCAAAGTGACTTTCTAAACTTACAATTTCTTTATTATTCATTAATAGTGTTCTCCAAAGATGACCTCCTCCCAATCTCAATACTCTTCAATATTTCTATTGATTCATGGATTATTGCTCTATTTTACTATGTTAGACTCCACCATGTTTTGTTTTCGATTT